ATAGCCCAAATGTCCATCAGCAGATGACTGGATAAACAAATACACACACACACACACAGAGGAATATTATTCAGCTATCGTAAAGAACAAAGTACTGATACGTGTTACAGTGTGGATGAAACTTGCAACCATCCTAGCTGAAGAGGCTAGACACAAAAGGACATATAATATATCCATCCATGTATGACTCCATCTGTATGAAATATTCAGAATAGGCAAATCCACAGACACAGAAAGCAAACTGGCCTTTGTACCGAGTGGAGAATGGGATATAACTGTTCAATGGGTAAAGGGTTTTATTTTGGAGTGATGAAAATGTTTCATAACTAGTTAAGAGATGGTGGTTGAGCAACATTGTGAATGTACTAAATGCCCCTAAATTATTCACTTTAAATTGTCAATTTTATGTTTTGTACATTTCACCTCAATGGAAAAAAAACCCTGTGATCACAGTATTCACTCACTCACTCCACTCCTTCATTCATTCCTGCATTGAGGAGCATCTGTTTACCACCAGTCTGGCAGTGTGGTAGTGCCTGGGGGTGTGACACCGAATCAGCCATGCCAGCCTCATGGAGCTTACATTCTAGTTGGGAGAATAAAGAAAACAAAGTAAACAAATTCACTAATTACAAACAGGGTTATCTGACAAAGAATGAGGATGACAGTGGTGTGGCATGCTTCACCTGGAGGGGTCAATGAAGGCCTTTCCAGGGAGGTAATATTTGAGGTCAGACATGAAAAACAAGAAGCCATACAAGGGAAGAGAATCAAAGGAGTGAGTTTGTCATGTTACAGAAACAGAAATGACGCCAATGTGGTGGACAAAGTGAGCTGGAGTCAATGTATAAAGTGAAATCAGAGCAGCAAGCAGGAGCCAGGTCATGAAGGACCTTGTAGACCATGTTCAGAAACTTGGATTTTCCTCAACTGTGATGGGAAGACATTGAAGAAGTCGAAGCAAAGAAGTGATGGGCATTTATCAAAAGATCATTATCACTAACAAGTTAAGAATCAGTTAGAAAGGGACCAGGACAGAAACAAACAGACCACTTAGCAGGCTGCTGTCGTGGTCCAGATACAAGATGATGACGGTCTGGACTCCAGTGTTGACAGAAAAGGTGGAGAGAAATGGACAGATTCAAGATCTCTTTTGCAGGTAAACCTGTCAGACCCTGTTGCTAGATTAGGTGGGTAGAAGGTAGATAAAAGGGAAGCAAAGCATCAGGGATGACTTGTAAGGTTTTAGCTTGGGCAACTGGGTAGATGTTGGTGTTACTTCTGGAGATGAGGCTTGTATTAATTTTCTTGCCACTGTAACAAATGACCACAAACTTACCATCTTAAAACAACACAAACTTGGGAGGAGACTATAGCTCAGTGGTGGAGTGCGTGCTTAGTATGCACGAGGTCCTGGGTTCAAGCTCCAGTACCTCTGCTAAAAATAAACAAACCAACCAACATAATTACCTCCCCACCCAAAAGAATTTAAAACAACACAAATTTATTACCCTATAGTTCTTTAGGTCAGAAGTCTGCCACAAGTCTCAGTGGTTTACAATCCAAGCGTCAACAGCACTGTGTCCCTTTCTAGAGGGCATAGGGGAAAATCTGCTTGCCATTCTTTGCTTCGAAAGATCATCCACATTTCTTGGCTCATCATATTACATGTCTGTGTTTCCCTGGTGTCAGAGTGAACAGGAGATGAGAAAATGGAGATGGTGAGAGTCGGTAATATTCTGAGGAAGTTTGGCTATGAAAAGGGAAGAGGGAATGGGAGCCTCATTTTTGGAGGTGTTTATAAAGTCCAAGGAAAGTTTTTTTTTTTTAATGAGATGGGATATATACTAGGTTGGAGGTTCTCAAAATATGGTCCCCAGGCCAGCAGCATCAGTGCCAGTGGGAACCTGTTAGATATGCAAATTACTGGCTCCCAAGCCAGACCTGTTGAAGGAGAAATTCTGGGGGTGAGACACAGCAATTTATGTTTTAATAAGCTCTTTGGACAAGTCTGACATGAAATCAGGTTGGAGAACCAGTACTGCAGTGGTAATGGCTATGATCCAATGAAGATGGGAGACTGACTTTACAGAAGAGAGGCGATGGTGGCAGTCTGCAAAGACGTAAGGAGATAATAGGAGGAGTCCCAGTAGAAGGACGGAACGTCAGTTGAATCAGGGATGTCTTCCCCCGGAAACATCCTCTTTCTAAGAGGTAAGCTAAAGAAAGAGTATCCAGTGGCAGGTAAGTTGCATGCAGGTCAGTCAACAAGAAGATGAAAACAAGCCATGACTAACTAACATCTTATTATTTTTAAAAAAGGGATTGGTTAAATAGGTATGTATAAAAGGGAAGGGATGGCTGTTGCCCATCTGCATCTCCATTTCTGGAAAAACGTCTGTTTAGTTCTTCTGACCATATTTTAAATGGGTTGGTTGGTTGGTTGTTTGCTTTTTAATTAAAGTACAGTTGATTAAAAATGTATTAGTTTCTGGTATACAGCATGGATGGACTTGGAGGGCATTATGCTGAATGAAATACATCAGAGAGAGAAAGACAAATACTGTAAGATGTCACTTATATGTGGAATCTAAAAAAATACAACAAACTAGTGAATACAGCAGAAAAGAAACAGACTCATAGATGTAGAGAAGTGGTTACCAGCAGGGAGAGGGAAGGGGGAGGGGCAAGATGGAATTGGAGGATTAAGAGGTACAAACTATCAGGTTAAAATAAACTACAAGGATATACTGTACAACATGGGGGATTTTATAAATTTTATTTTAGTTTATAATATTTTACTTTATATTATATTTTATAATATAAATGGAGTATAACCTTTAAAAAGTGTGAATTACTATATTATATACCTATAACATGTAATACTGTATATCAACTATACTTCAATTTTTAAAATATGGTATTGTAAAATAAAAGCATACGTAAATTTAAAAAGGGAATGCTAGAAACATTTGATATCTTAATTTCAGCAAGACATATGATAACATGCCAATGACGTGCTCAGAAAGGACAGAGAAGTGAAAACTGGAGAATAGGAGAGTTGCGTGGGTGTGTGGCTGGTTACATTTAGAGGAAGAGTTCTAATGGAACAGCGGTGGCAGGTCTCCAGATGAGGGCTTCCCTGCCCAACATCCTTATCTACTTTGCTGAAGACAGAGGAAGTGTGCTTATCAAAGCTGAATGTGGTACAAAACTGAGAAGGCAAGCCAATGTATTTGATGACGCAATGGAGACTCAGAACAATCTAGACAAATTAGAATGATGAGCCAGAAACCGAAGATAAAACTGAGCAAGGGCAGCACACTTTACGTTTACGGTATTTTAAAAATTATTTTTGGTGACAACTTTGGGAGGGGAGAACACTATGATTTGGACCAACAGTAGTTCGTAGGAGAAAACCCTAGGAATTTTAGTTACCTCAAACTTCCAGATGAGCCAAGAAATTCAATCTTAGCTTGCATTAACAAAAGTGAAGTAACCAGATCAAGAGATGCTCCTTTCTTTCTCTCTCATTGAATATACCAGGGGGACTGTGTACAGTGCCAGAGGACACTGAGAACTAGAGGAGATCACGCATCTTGATTTGGGTGAGCACAGTGCAAAGTCTGGAAGTCACGTTACAGGAGGAATTTTGAAGTGACTTGGACCACAGTCAATCATGCAGCAAGCATGTCTTAAGTCAGACGAAGCTCTTCATGCTGAGGACAGACAATAAAACTAGACAAAGTCCTTATTCTGTCTCATGGTACTTATAATCTCCTGGGTAGATGAAAACAATCATAAACAACAAAACAAGCAAGTGAAGCAGATCATTTTATACAGTGATCAGTTGCTTGAACAAATTCACATCATGTCATTTGACTTGTGCATGATGTGTCAGTAAGTCTTCACTGACGGCTGAGATAAATACCATCCCCAACTCAATCGAGCATTCCGAACCCTCGATAATGAGATCTGAATTTACCTTAGCCCACACTCTTCCCATTTCTATGCCCTAGTGACCTACCTAACAAAGAGGAGGGAGTAAATCTGTTTTCACAGTAATGTTATATTTCATATGTGATTGTCTCCATTTTGTAAAGAAAGAAAGGAGTTTGTTTGCAAGATGACTGCAGTAATTCCATTTCCATACTCAGGATTTTCTGCGATGTGACTTTGCCTTTTCTCCCAACAAAAGGTAGAGTTTCTTTGTCCACTCTTTGAATCTGGGCTTGGCCGTGAGACTTTCTTTGGCCAACGGGACATGACGAACGGGAGCAGAGGTTTGAAAGTGACTGCACGTGGATTTCTTTGGGCTGTGGCTGCAACCCTGAGACCACTGCATGAACAAGCCAAGCTAGTCTACCAAAAAGGTGATGGGCGGAACATGGACATGCCCCGGACAAATATGTAAGTGAGACCATCTTTTACCAGGCAGCCCCATTCGAGCCACTAGCTGACTTTTATCTGCATGGCTGATCCCGGGAGAGGCCAGAACTGCCCAGGGGAGCCCAGTCCAAATTGCTGACGAATACAATAAACAACAACAACAACAAAAGTTAGTCTCTAGCCTGCTAAATTTTGGACTGTTTTGTTAACGCAGCAATAAATAAATGATTGCTAGAGGGAGGCTCCGAGAATTGCTTATAACCTCACGGGAAGTAAAGTGTTGGAGCTGGGATTCCAGTCCAGGTTTGCTAACTGCACTATGTCTTCGCTTGCCAGTACACACGCTAATTTCCCTGCAGTGTCCTGAGAGAGCCATCAGCAAGGTTAAAGTATATGTGAGTGAAGAATGCATGATTGCACATTTAGCGAAGATCCAAACTTAGGGGAACGGTTCTCTCAAAGGAACTGGGTATGTGGCAATGCGGTTTGCTCATTAAATAAATTGAGCAATGTCTTATAAAGTCCTTAACCAAAAAATAGGTTTGCCCTAGATTTTGGGAAAAAAAAAAGCCCTCTGACCCACTTTTTTCAACCTCTAGAAGACGAAGTACCTTTTTCAGAAGCCTTTCCATCCTTTTTTAGACATCTCCAGACAATCACATAAGACTTGATCTGAAGAGTGGCCCTCGTCCTTCAGCTCTCAGGCTGCTGGGCAGGATTCCTCTGGGGTAGCTAGAATAGTAGCACAGGGGGCAGGAAGAATGGTGAGTTCTGTAATAATGAAAAGCATATCTGGAAAAATCACATGTAATTGTGCATTTACTTTTGATAGGGATTAAAATCAGAAGAGGGAACTTGAAGGGACTGTAGAAGGCAGATGAGGCAGAGGCTAACTCCATCATGGTCCTAAAATTTCTGCTGGTCCTACAGGTTGTTGGAAGTCACCAGCACTCCTGTCTGACTCTCTGAGAAGCCAAGGATACCATGTTTTCAGTGCAAGTGTACGGAGGGGTTAGCGTGTGGAGGGTACAGTAGGTGTGCAGACAAGTGGAAGGTGTGTGTGTGTGTTCTGGGTGTGGAGTGCACTCTGGCTTGGACACAGAAAGCCTGAGTCCTCAGTTGAGACCATCAATCACTCAGTAGGTGTCTGGAGGGTGGCCTCATGCCAAAGATTAAAGCAAACCCCGCTAGTGTGAACTAGTGTGTATGTACTGGTACAAATAAAACCTAACTAGAAATATAAATCTTTTATCCTGGAAATTTTAAAGCTATTCCAAAACTAGAAATAGGCTTACGGTTAGGCCATTCTGTGATGTGAAGTCTATGGAATATCACAGTGAGGAGAAATGGGATCGTATCCTGGGTACCGTATCACGTGCCCCTGTGATGCTGGGTCTTTGAAAGTAACACAACAGTTAGGCCTGAGAGCACTAGACAATGTCGTATCTGTTAAGCGCTTAACACTGACTGGTCCCTTGTGGGCCTAACGTATGTGTCAGTTCCTGAGTATGTTCTAATTTTTAAAAGTTAACCCAATATGTATATATTATTTTTTGAAGAGCAGAAATTAAAACACTTTTAGGGGGACAGGGAGAGGAATACACCTGAAAGCAAATCTTTATGCTACAACATGGATGAACCTTAAAAATACTATGCTAAGTGAAATCAGAGACAAAAGTACAAATACTGTGTGATTCCACTTCTGTGAGGTACTGGGAACAGGCAAATTCATAGACAGGAAGTAGCACAGAGGTTACCAGGGCTGCAGGTAGGAGGGCGAGTTATCGTTTAATGGGGACAGAGTTTCTTTCTGGGATGATGAAAAGGTTCTGGAAACGGATAGTGCTGGTGGTTGCATAACACTGTAAACTTAATGCCACTGAATGATGCAGTTAAAATGGTAAATTTATGTTCTATATATTGTTACCACAATAAAAACATGCAAACATTTTTAAGCAAAATCTTTGTAAAGCATTGCATAAATGCTAAGCACTTTCCTACAAAAAGCCTCCAAATCAAGGAGGATAGTGTCAAGTCAGTTTGGGGGGCAAGCTCCAAATGTTGAATACTTTAAAAAATATTCACTTTCTTTGTCATCATCTCCGTATCAGGTTGAATGAGAACTGACAGACTGGAAAGCAGTTGGCTCTGAGCTTAGAGGTCAAGCTCTCAAAGAGGTTGAACTTATCCATCCTCCCACTGACTCCACTGGGATCCACCTTACCCTAAGGTAGAAGAATACACGTGGGGAAGAACATGACCAGCAGATAATCTGAAGGCACAGAAGTTATATATTATACAAGAGGTATCAGTACTGGGGACTATGTCAAGATTCTTGTAACTGTGACATGAAATCTCATTCAATCTGGCTTAAGCAGAAAAAAGGAATGTAGGGGCTTATGCAACTGACTTTGTTGTGGGTTTGTAAGAGGCTTGATCTACTGCTCCCACGATGTCACTAAGGACCTGGGTGCTCCCTCCCCCTATTCTGCCCACCATCCTGGGGCCTTCTTCAGGACCCCCATGACAGAACTCAGTAACTCCAGGCTCACAGCTCCCAGGAGCAAAACACATGAAGCAAATTCTGATCTCATATCCTCACACCTCATCATCCAGCAGAAAACGGGCTCCCTTTGGTAGCTGTCAGAAAGAGAGGTGGAACTTCTTTTTCTTAGAAGTTCCTACAGGAACATCTCTTCATATCTCATTGGCTCTGACTGGGTCGCATGCCTATCTCTGAGCTAATCACTGTGACCAAGGAGATGCAGATGTCCACCAGCATAAGCTGGGGTTGGGGTGGCACCAGGGCTATTTTATAGCCTATCTGTGATGACTCCCTCTAGAGCAGTACAGGGCCCAGCCTGCACAGCCAATCACAACAGCAACCTGAGAATTCACCTCATCTTTTGGCCAAGAGTATAAATTCCTAGAATGGAAGGACATGTTGCCATCTTAGAGCTACTGGTAGCGCCTGGGACATGATGTCTGCTCAGTAAGTTCTTACTGAGTGAATCAATGATTATATGAATGAACAGAAAACTAGCTGGAAGGCATAAACCTCCCCCAAAATGATGTTTCTGAGTTCTACACATACTACTGATTTTTCCAGTAACTTCTTGTTACTGGATGGGAATCAATTCTTAAATTTTCCATATTGATGAAGGTGAGGCCAAGCCTAGATGAATACAATTTCAACCTTCTTCTCTGTTAGAAGGTGACATTTTTGCATCTCACATTTGTTTTATCTATGTAGTTAGGAAAATTTAGTCTTTGAAATACAAAACTCCATGAGCAAAAATTAAGCTCCTACCTGGGCCTTCTCTCCTTATTCAACGGGAAAGACAGCCACCGACTCCAATGGTTTTTTTTTGTGAGAGTAGTAGTTAGACTATAAACATTAACTTTGCGTGTATTTTTACGATTTAATTTCTCCTTTTTATGGGAATATAAAATGTATTTTTAAAAATAAATAAATCTTTAATGGAAGTACATGATGGTAACATGGGAAGTATGTAAATCTGTCACATACAATATAAGAACATATTTAAATATGCATATTAAGAACATTTAAAGCGGTAATGTTTCAAAATAGTGTTAACCTCTTATATGAAACATTTCTTTCTACATGTGAGCCCACTAGCATCCTAATTACGGGTTGCATCATACATTATATGCAACCAGTGGTAAAATATTTTTAATCAAATATTTGTTCTTAAATTTTCTCTTGTAGAAATGGTTATTCTGTGTGCCAGGTTTACTCTTTATTTAGATAGAGAAAAACATAAAAATTCCTTAAGCCTCTTGTTTTTTTTTTTCTAAATTTGAAAATTATCACACAAGTGAGAAATACTTTCTCTCCCAGAAACTCTTCCTCGGACTGTCTTTTCTTCTTTTTCTACCTTCTTGCCTTGGACATTCTCACCTTCCCTTATGACCTAAACAACCAAGTATAAGTTAATGGCCCCCAAATCAGCGTACCCAGTACCAATGTCATTCATCAGTGACATAGTAGTTTGTCCAACATCCTACTAGAAGTTATCATTTTAATGGTCCCACGACCTCAGGTGCCTCGGTTAATGGCATTGCCATCTGCTTCTTCACCCCAGCTAGATCCCTTGGCACCATCTTAGATTCCTTTTCCTCTGTCATCTATCCTTAACTCCCTCCAAGAACTCAGCTGACCATTCCTGTCATATCTGGTCCCATAATGTAAGTCTCCCTTCATTCTATGGCCAAACTTAAGCTGCTACCACTTTAACGGCTGACTGTGTCCTCCTCCTTTTTGAAGACAGTAATTCTAGTTTCTTACCAACTAATCTGCCATCCAACCTGCCCTCACCCGAAATTGTATCCAATTTCTACTACAGTCTGATGCTCCAAATTTTCCTGCTTAAAATTCTTCAAAGACTTCTCATCGCTTTTAGAGTAAAGTTCACATTCAGAAACTTTGGCCATGTGTCTCCCCCTTACTTTACAATCTCATCTTCCGCCTGTCCCTTCAGCTCTTCTACAAAAGCCTTTGCTCTCATCTCATCAAATCACTAATTAGTCTGAGAATACTCACAGGGTCTTTATGTCATTCCCTCTGCCTGGCCGGCTTTGCTCACCTCTTTCCCCCTGTAAAGTTAACTTCAGTAAAGTCTTTCCTGACTTCCCTTCACAATTAATCATTCCTTCCTCTGTACTCCCACAAAACTCTGCTCAGATTGTGCACATCTGGTACCGCTCTTCCTGGGTGGATCGTGTGGTTCTTGGGGGGAGCAGGGAAGGGAGGGCTGTGTCTGGGTCATCTTTGAATGGATAGTTCCTCGCCAGTGCCTGATGATCAGCATGTACTAAAAAAAGAAAGTTTAGTGAATGAGCCTTCATTTTGAACAGTCAGAAAGACCTTAAATCTGACCTATAAACTAGAAGAAATAGGAAAAGGAAGCCTTGAGATTCACAGATGTTGTACTGACCCCATGTAGTAAAAACAAGCACTTTGTAAAGTCAAGCTGCAGCAGACTTAGCCCATTTCACCACAGTCTCTTCTCTGTCTTTTAAACAGTGTCTAACGTGAGATCCCTTTCACGTGCTCCCCTTCCAAGGTTTAATGTACGTGATTAATCATTAATCTCGACTTGCCTTAATACTGCTAGGAATGTGGCAATGACCTCAGCTGAACACTGGCAAAGTGATTAATGTTACATGAACTGGATGAGTTTTTTTTTTTAAACTCTAGATTCTGAATAAACACATTCATGCACGATTCAGTT